CTGTGGGCTGCATGTTGGAGCGGCTCATAAGCACAAGTGCAGATGGGGTGACAGGGTCCTTCCTGAGGACTCGCTGAGGCAGGGTGCTCAGGCCAGATGGCGCCTGAGAAGGAGCAGGGGTAGCTTTGAGAGTGCCTTTGTCTCAGTGACCTGGCTGGAATGTGCTACAAGCAGCATTTCAGCTACTTGCTAAAGAACCGCCCACTCACCCCCAATTCAAAGACAAACATGATACCACAATTTGCTCTCCATTCCCCAAACTCTTTTTGTAGTCCCATATTGAAATGGGTTATTAATAAAGAACCTAAGTCAGTCTACAATAAGGGGCAAAGGACTCACCCAATGCCTAATATTTTACTTCTTTGGCCCTGGGCCATTACCCCCTTCTCAGGCATGATACTGTTAAACCTGTGTAAGTCTCCTCCATAGAACACCACACTCATTCCCCAAGGGCAGGAGAGGACTGGGTCAATAAACACCCACAGTCCAGGGGATTTTGACACAGGGGTCTTTGCAAAGTCTCCTGCAAAACTTAGTCTATCAAGGCTTAGATAATGTCTTTGAGGTCTTGGATATTGCAGCAAACACTGGTATTTACCCCCTCTGAAACAATAGGTTTTTGGGACACCAAGGGCTACTGTGATGGCCCTGGACCGCTTCTCATTTTCAGCTTCTCAGAGTAATAGACTTAGTTTCTTTTGGAAGTGACCAAGGTAAAAGTGACAATAGTCTCTCATCCAGATTCCATTCTTGAGCTCCCTCAGTGCTCCATGATGGAGGCAACTAGTGGACAAGGGAATAGATGGACTCATGATACCCAAGTACCACCAGCAGGGAGGTAAGCCTGTGTAGGGTCCCTTTCCTCTTTAGCTAAAAGAAGCTGGCTTGGCGCCCATAGCTCAGTGGTGGGGCACTGGCCACATACACCAGGGCTGGTGGTGTGGAGAGTGGGCCCTCACAGCCTGGGGAACATTCAGAGAATAAAACCCCCAACTGCTTCTCCTCTGTTCCCAAAACAGCCATATTCCTTTCCTCATGCTCCCTCTGCCAGAAGTTAGGTATTAGGTAGCCCTTTGTTTGCAAAAATAAACTAGGCAGCAAATAACTTAGGGTAGCCTTGACCTCCCAGAGTGCTAGGATTACAGGGGTGAGCCACCACACCCAGCCCAGACCCACACCTTTGTAGGAACTTAATATATATAATGAAGGTGGCATTTTCAGTCAGAGGGTAGACTCTTTAATATAAGGTGTCTGGACAACCGGAAAATAAATATATTTAGATCCTTACCTCACATCAGTCTTAAAATAAATTCCGAATGAAACTTTAAAATAAAATAGTAACTTTATCCATTTCCTTCTAGCGTCTATTTCTATTTGCTGCCTAGTTTATTTTTGCAAGACATAGGTTAGGAATCATGGCCTGAATACCAGCCCCTGCTTTCTCAGTCCCAGATATCATTTGTATGTGACAAGTAGGCTCAGCACTGCAGGGGTCCTCACGGGTCTCAGCCAGTGACCACAGGCTGGTCAGATTCAAGTTGGCAGCACCTGACAGGAGGAGACTAGACTATAAATGACCAGATCGGGTTTTGCCAGCAAAATCTTAGAGCCCATACTTTGACGGATAACGGGCGAGAAAATGCTTGCAGCGGTCCTCAACCTGTGGATCGCGACCCACTGGAACTGTATCAAAGGCCCGCGGCATTAGGAAGGTTGAGAACCATTGGCTTCGAGAAGGGCTCTCTGCAGGACCTCAAATCCCCAAGTAGGAACTTGCCCCGAGCGAGATGAGGGGCGGAGAAGGAGGTAAGGGCCTTACCGTCTGTCGGCCGTAGGACCAGAGGTAGGCGTTCTCTTTCAGAGCCATCCTTGGAGGGAAACGGGGAGGAGAGCTGTTCGGAGAAGGGAAACAGCTGTGAAAAGCAGAAAAAAAAGAGGAGAGAGGGCTGGAGGGAGAGAACAGATCGATCTAGCCGGAAGTGCTAGCTAGTGAAAGGGAGCGAGTCTGCACTGGCGGCAGTCAGAGCACATCCGGGGGGCTCGTCTTACTGCCCCCACCCGCTTCCGGGACCCTCTTTCCACCCTGGGGCACTCCGCAGCCCCTCGAGTGCCTGCCCAACAAACCTCCCATCTGATTGATCATGTGGCTCTCTCCCGGCCGAAGGCCCGCGACAGGAAGTTAGCTCACCTGAAGTCGGAGTCTCAGCTAAATTCCCGGGCGCCCGCAAACAACTGAAGCGGTTCAGTCAGGCCCTCGCCGAGGCCTTTCAAATCTACTGCTCCGACCTCATTGGCTGATCGCGCTGCCAGCGCCCAATTTTCATTGGCTAGATTTCCTGTGACGTAAGCCGAGAAGGCCAAAGGAGCAGGCAGAAGGAGAGTAGGAATACCTCGGGTTTCGGTCTGGGAAAGTTTCCCAAGTACCCCAGTTGAATTTTCCTTCTCTCAATTCCTCTCCTTCCCTCTTCTCTCCCCTCATATCCTCTTTCTATCTTTGTCCTTATCTTCCTCCCTCCCGCCTTTTCTCCTTAATTACTTTAAAAAAATTTAAATCCTTAATATGTGAACTAAAATAGAATCTTAAGGCTCCCCCTTCAGCGATTGATGGACTGAACCCCTTCTTAGCCAAGGGGGTTAAAACTGAGCCTAAAACTGAGTTGCTGGCCATAAGAAAGGACATCAGGTATATCTCATCATGCCCCTCTCCCTTTCTTTGAGATGTCTTCTGTGACTTATTAATAGGCCTAAGTCTATGCAAGACTTCCTTGCAGGTCCTCAATATACACAACAAACCACTTGAGAGTCTGTCCTTACTTTGTCTCTGATAAACAGACCCTTTATCTGAGGGACTTAACAAATGAAATCAGTGTAACCGAATTCTTTGTACTCTCAATGAATCCCAAACAAAAACAAACAAAAAAAAAAACCCGAAACAGATCCTTTCTCTTAAGCATTTCTTTTCTTTGACTCTTGGCCTTTTAGACAGTCTCTTTCAGCCAATTGTCAGCTAAAGAATCTTTAAACCCACCTTACAATCTGGAACGCCCCTGTTTGATTTATGACCTCACCTCTAATCCCTGTCTCCCTAAAATGTACAAAACCAAACTGTAATCTCCCCCGACTCACTATAAGTCGACTTTCTCAAGGTTTCTTGGGTGTGGCTCCAGTTCACGGTCCTGAAATTCGGCTCAGAATAAAATTCCTTAAATTGTTTTACAGAGTATGGCTGCTTTAGTGTCGAAATATATAACTGGAGTTCATCACATATGTATGTGCTAGCGTCCAACTTCTTTCTTTCTCAAAAAAAAGTGACTGTACACGGATCCCGAAAATAGGATTCCCTAGTGACCCCGACGTGATTTGAACACGCAACCTTCTGATCTGGAGTCAGACGCGCTACCGTTGCGCCACGAGGCCTCCCTGACTCCACCGCTTGACAGATCGTGTGAACAGACCCACCGTTAGTAATGAGGGGCAGCGGTTTGTTCTCAAGCCCCGCCTCTAAGGTTTTGCCAGTGCAGTCCCCACCAGGCACATGAAGGCGAGACTCGGGCGCACGCACATAGCGATTAAAGTCATCCTCTAGGAGGTCAATGACGAAGAGAGGCAAATTTTGTTTAGGTGCATTTGGCTTAAGGTTCAATTCTTCAACCCTGAAACATTGAGCTCACTCAACAGAGAAGTGATTTTTGTTCTGGAGATGACAAATCCTCACGGTGTCGCTGCAGTCTTTGCCCCACAAATCTTAAATTTAATCCAGTCTCTGCTGGTGACTCAGAAAACCTTACTCAGTTTCTCTGGATCTTGGTTTCTTCATTTGTGGACTGGTTACGACCCCTACAGTCTCACGCAGGGAGAGTGGCGCGTAGTAACGGTGACCGGAGACCAGCGCCGCTAACAGGTGAGCGCGCAGCCGTCACTTTTACCTTGGCCTTGCTGGTTCCTGCTTCGTAACTCAAATCCCATCTCTGGCAACGTTCAAGCCGATGGATGATACCCTTGACTGCTCCCAGAAAAAGGCGCCAGCCAGCGTTGGTGGTATAGTGGTGAGCATAGCTGCCTTCCAAGCAGTTGACCCGGGTTCG